CAAGATAACCCCACCCTTGTGCGGAATGACCGAGTTCTCTGCACTCCTAGCTGGGAGGACTTCCAACCGCACTGCCTGCTCCGTTGCCTCGCTTCGGCCGCTTCTGATCACGCCCCTCTCCTGCTGGACTGTTCTCGGCATCCTGGCGGCCCCAAACGCTTCCACTTCGAGAGGTTTTGGGTTCACCTCGAAGGCTTTCAAGACACTGTGAGCAACGCCTGGAACTGCGAGCCTCCGGATCCGGACCCATTCAGGAGGATCTACCTGCGCCTCAAGCTCACTGCCCGTCGCCTCCAAAGTTGGAGTGCACGATGCATCGGCAATGTCTCCCTACAGCTTCTGGTCGCTCGCGAACTGATTGCTCGCCTCGGCGCGGCGCAGGACTTGCGCCCCCTGTCCCCTTCGGAGGCCTGGCTTCGTAGAAACCTTAAGCTGAAGTACCTGGGCCTGGCATCCCTCGAGAGGTCGATTGCCCGCCAGCGCGTGCGCCTCTCTTGGCTCCGGGAGGGTGACACGAACTCCACCTTCCTGAAGATCCACGCCTCCCAACGCAAGCAGAAGAACCGCATCCTGCAGCTGGATGTTGATGGCTCCCTGGTTTCCGACGAGGCTGGGATGGCCGAGGCTGCGTTCCACCACTTCGCGAGCATTCTCGGCTCCTCTGATGAGCGCAACATCACCCTTGCCCTTGAGGCTTTTGACGACCGTTCCTTTGATCTCTCAGAGCTGGAGCTTCCTTTCTCCGAGGCCGAGATCTGGGAGGCCGTTAAATCCCTCCCCTCCGGCAAGGCCCCGGGTCCGGACGGCTTCACCTCTGAGTTCTTGCGCGCCTGCTGGGACACTGTTAAGCATGACATCTGCGACGCTTTCGACAAGCTTTATCACCTTAATGGCCTGGGATTTCAGAAGCTCAACGAAGCGCTTGTCACTCTCCTCCCGAAGAAACTCGACGCCACCACCCTCGCGGACTATAGGCCTATCAGCCTAATTCACCTCTTGGCCAAGCTTTTTGCCAAGGTGTTGTCCTTGCGGTTAGCTCCGCGGCTTCGAGATATGGTGTCGACCAACCAGAGCGCATTCATCGCTGGCCGCTGCATTCACGACAATTTCATCTTGGTTCAACAGACCGCCCGTCAGTTGCACAACATGAGGGCTCCTCGCATCCTCCTGAAGCTCGACATCGCGCGTGCCTTTGACTCTGTCTCATGGCCTTTTCTCCTTCAGCTTCTTGGGCACCTTGGCTTTGGCCCAAGGTGGCGCGAGTGGATCTCCATCCTCCTCTCTACGGCGAAAACATGTGTGCTAATCAATGGCCACCCGGGCCCCCCCATTTGCCACGAGAAGGGTCTCCGGCAGGGCGACCCCGTCTCCCCCATGCTCTTCACGCTGGTCATCGACGCGCTTAACTCCCTGCTCCAGCACGCCATCAGGACGGGAGTGCTGCACCGCCTCACCGAGCGCCGGATGGCCTCAAGTATCTCCCTGTATGCTGACGACGTGGTTATCTTTTGCCACCCGGACCACCATGAGCTTCAGGTCATCCGCGAGCTGCTCCGTGCCTTCGGCGCCGCGACTGGGCTGCACACCAACTTCCGTAAATGCTCCGCCACTCCGATCCATTGCACGGCCGAGCAAACTGTGCTTGTCGAGGACACGCTCGCCTGCCCGATCGCGCACTTTCCCATTGTTTACCTTGGCATCCCGCTCTCGACCAGGAAGGTCTCCGCGACGGCTCTTATGCCTCTGGTGGAGCGGATGGCGCGTAAGCTGCCAACTTGGAGAGCGTCCCTCCTCTCTCTCGCGAGGTGAGCGTCTAGCCCTGGTGCGCCATGTTCTCGCCGCCATGCCCGTCCACCTACTTATGGCCATGGCGCTCCGACCCGCTATTCTCAAGAAAATCAACAGGATCATGCGCGACTTTCTCTGGCACGGCAAAGCCGATGCCCCGGGTGGAGGCTGCCTGGTCAGTTGGCAAAAAGTGTGCTGCCCCCTGGAGCTGGGTGGGCTTGGCATCCGTGACCTCCAGCGTACCGGCGTTTCGCTTCGCGCTAGGTGGCTTTGGCTCCAAGCCACCGATCTGTCCCGTCCCTGGCGGCACCTCCATCTGCCCTTCGACCCCGAGGCCCAGGCAATTTTTGATGCTTCCTCCTTCTGGATCCTTGGCGACGGGACCTCTTGCTTGTTCTGGAAAGACCGTTGGATTTCGGGCCGTTCGGTCGGCGAGCTTGCGCCGTCCATCCTTGCTTTAGTTCCTAAGCGCCGAGGCGTTCGACGACCGTTGCGCAGGGCCTTAGCAACAGGGCCTGGGTGGGAGACATTCAGGGCGCCTTGGGGCCGGCTGCGATGGTTCAATATGTCGAGCTTTGGCGTGCCCTGCAGCCCGTAACCCTAACTCTCGACCCGGACGTGTTACGCTGGAGGTGGACCGACTCGGGCATCTATACTGCGAATTCCTGCTATCGAGCCATGTTCGCTGGCTCCACCATTGCGCCCAACTGGAAGCTGATCTGGCGCACGTGGGCCCCGCTGCGGATCCGGGTCTTTGTGTGGCTTGCAAGCCAGGACCGTTGTTGGTCCGCTGCCCGTCTCGCGCGGCATGGCCTTCCGCATGACGACCGCTGCATCTTCTGTGACCAAGTGTTGGAAACCCTCGACCACCTTCTCGTCCAATGCCCATTCTCCCGGACCATCTGGCATGAGATCCTCGCCTGGTGCCGGATGCCTCTGCCGCCTCCGGGCACCGACGATGGCTTCATTGAGTGGTGGGCTAACTCCTCCAGGAGGGTTCCTGCGGCCTCGCGGAAGGGTCTCGCCTCCCTCGCCCTCCTCACTGCTTGGTCAATCTGGCGCCACCGTAATGCCTGCATCTTCGACCAAATGAACCCCTCCACTACGCTTCTTGTTCAGATCATCAAGGACGACGCTCGGGCATGGGCTCTTGCCGGGGCCAAGGACGTTGCAAACTTTTTGCCTCCCTGATGCGTAGATTGCTAGGCTGGGGCTGAGCACCCTCATCCATTCTGCTCATGTACCGCTTTCCCACGCCAGCTCTGTGTACGTGGTAAAGTGTTACCCGTGTAATCTTGTCACTCTTGTTTTCTACCTATCAATGGAATGATACGCATCTTGCGTATTCGCGAAAAAAAAAAAAAGTAGACCTATCTTATGTACTAGTACAAGAAAGTAACAATTGTACGTATCATGATAGAACTATGCAAGCTATTGTGCAGTTCTTCTCAGCAGGCTGTATCTACTGCAGGTTGTCTCGGCAATTAATTACAGTGTGCTGAAGTTTTCAGTATTTCTGAAATCATTCTTGTGCAGCATCTTGAGTAGGAGTACAGTATTTGCAAGAAAAAACAGAATGCCAGTGAATGAATCAGGTAATGAGAAATAAATGAGGGTCCTCATCATGACAGTCGGCCATCTAGTACTCTTATCTTAAAACCAAACGGCTGAGCCCAATCAATTAGTGGAAGGGGAAATTTCTCCAGAGTGAGGGGACAGCACATTCAATAAATCCTCAGACGAGATTGCACCGACCAAGTAATAAGAACAAACCCAGCACTTAGGTTGGGCCACAGAGAACACGGAGGCATGTCGAGAGCGCCATCGACGGATCTACCCTCCCTCCTACGGCCAATGAGCCCAAGCACGCAGCTGGCGCTTTGTCTGGACTCGTTGCCTGTGGGGCAGTGTCCAGCTCAACGCTTTTTTGGCTTAAACCTCGCCAAGCAGTAGGCGATCATCAATGGATTTGTGAGGTGCCCCACCGATTTGAATTTCTTCTCTCACAACAAAAGACAACGAGGGAGTACTGCATAATTGTCATCCTAAATTCTTGGTTGCAAAGCACTGTGATTTATTTACTATTTATAGAACAAGTAAAAAGGAGCTAGCTACAAGACAATTCTTTGTGCCAAACAGTTGGTTCCCCTGGGTGCAAATGGGAAAATCGATTAGGGTTCGTCATAAGGAGCATATTCCTCGCGCAAAAAGCTTCGATCGAACAACAAAACCGGAGGAAAGGCTTGAGGAGGTGCAGAGCTCGGCGGAGGGCTACTGACTCACCAGGGCTTTGGGGTCGGAGGCGTTGACGGTGAGGAGCGAAATCTCGTCGACGGTGGGGCGGAAGAGCGCGAGCAGCGGGCCGGCGTTCGCCAGGTTGAGGCGGCTGTCGCAGGGGGAGAGCTGCACGCCGCCGGAGAAGAAGGCGTCGCGCCCCGCGAAGGCCACCCCGAAGGTGAACCCGTCGCCGCGGCTCACCGTCGCGTCCGCGCACGGCTCGTACACGCCGTTGCCGTCGCCCCTGGCGGACGCCGCCGCGGGGAGGAGGAGGAGGACGAGGACGAGGACGGCCGGCGCCCGCCTCGACGTCGCCGTCGTCGTTGCCGCCATGGAGACAATTAATTGTTTCGGGCGCCTCGCTGTGCCTCGGGCGCGACGGAAGTCGTCGATGGATGACGGTTTCGCTACGGCTCACGCCAAGGAAACGGAACCAAACGAAACGCGTCGCGTCGGGGCAAGGAATAAAGGGGTAGAATGAGCTGGCTTTCTTGCTGGGCCGAAGCCCATTTGTTCTGACGGGCCCAAGATTTAACAAGCAACTCAGCAGCTCAGCAAGGTAGAGACTACAGAGCACACACCAGTGAAAAGCACAGGGTTACCCTTAAAAATAACATAAAGTTTCAGAATTTTTTTATTGTACAAAAAATAGTTCCAGAAAATGTGAGTCCATGCTTGCTCTTAGCTACAAATACAACAGTACAAGCTATGGTAACCCCCAGGTCTAGAGGCACCAGCTGACCAGCACATACATATCCAAGCACTAGCTAGACCTCATCTCATGAGATGAGCATTTGGCTGCATACCTATATGGCTAAGAAATAGATGCACATTGTTCCAATGGACCTTCCAGAATCCAAGGCCGCGCATGTAACAGAGCGCAGCATGCTGACTTCGAACCTTGACGACGGTAGATGGGGGCTTCAGATGGCTTGTCAGGCCTGCAGCTCAACTCTCTTGAGCAGCAGATCAACGGAACCGGCACGGCGATGCTTCCCTTCCAGCGCTGGGGAGTCTTCGGCAGCCTTGGGCGATCGGTTCACCGCGGGTTTATTCACTTGCCGTTTGCCAGCTTCTGGGCCTACACATTTTCAGTAGCAAGTGAGTCTATCTGGACGCTTTAAGCAACCGTAATACACCGAGGCACAAGTTGGAACAGGAAACAAACAGCTTTTATCTTTTTTGCGGGGAAAAAGGGGAAACAAACAACTTGTATGGAGGTTACTTCTGAACTGCTGAGTAGTTATAGCGCGCGCACATGAGAAAAACTTATGCTAGACAAGGACATTCATCGAAAAAATGATGAATTTTTCAAAGAAGAAAAGTTACTGGAAACCAGAGGGAATCTTTGCATCACTAGATGTATGTAACAGATGCAAGGTTTGGACTTACCAGTGCCAGGCAAGGAGAACCTCTTGTTGGCCCGAGGTTGTAACTGCCCAGGCCTCTCCTTAGGATTACTACTGCTCCGGGCACCAAGTCCCGAAAGACGAGACGAGACTTCATCAGAACCTTCCTTCGGTGGCAGCTTCCGTTTCGGTTTAGCTGACGCCGAACCGGCAGACGGGTTCAACGAGGAGCCACCACCCTCTGAGTTCGAGGGGCGGGCCTTCTGGATCAACACATTTGAATGAGGAGCTGAAACCTGCTTTTTCACAGGTTTCCTGTATGGGGCCTTGGTTGCATTTCCCTCAGCGTGCTGCGCTCCGGTATCAATGGCAATTCCATCTGCTGCGTACATGCCCAGGAACCGACTCTCCCACGGGCGGACGGCCATCCATCTCTCCAGCCAATTCCAGCTCCAGCTGTTCCTGTCTAGTTCAGAAGCTGTAATGGCCGCCTGTTGCCTTGAACCTGCTTGCCACTGCAAAAGGAGAGAAGAAACTTCAGATGGAACACTAAGGAGCAGAATAGCAAGGAAAACATGAAGAGCAAAATTTTGTACTCGTTAACTTGGGAGGGAAGGTTAACTTCAATGTTATTCATGAAAGCAACACTTGGAAGTTGGAGTGCAGCAACAGCAAACATGGTAGAGTTTGGTGCAGCCAATTACACAAAAACAACGGGCGTGAGGCTCCCCATATATTACCTTAGTTATCCAGAAGTTATACTTAGGTTCAGAGAAATATGTTTGGTGCACTAATAGCATTCGCTAACCCACGGTTCAAGCATCATGTTGTTAACACTTACAAGTACCACAATCGAGCAATGTCCTCATATAAAACATATGATAAATCACCTGGTGAGAAAGGGCATAGGCCATGGCTCGCTCACGCTTGGCTGCTGCTTCCTGCCTCTTCAACAGTTTTGCTTGGATGTCTTCCACAGACCCTATACTATCGCACCACCCGTCCTGCATTTTAAGTAAGGTGGTAATGGAAGTTAGCTGCCTAAGCCAAATAACTGCACCTGCACTATCATTTATCTCCTGTTAAAAACACAAACCGTAATTCTAATGGGGAACTTATGAGTTATGAACAGATGCCAACAAGGCAAGCAGCATAACAAAAATACTACTCCCTCCGTCCGAAAATAAGTGTCGCTGATTTAGTACAACATTAGTACTAAATCAGCGACACTTATTTTCGGACGGAGGGAGTAATATAGAAGATTAGAACAAAAAATCCTGCAAACTGGTGTGCAGCTTACCTCAATTTCTCGAACATGTGCCTCGTCTGTTTGCTCTTCTTCATTATTTTGTTGGTCATCCATCTGACTTTCCAAGGCCACGCGAACTCGCCTTGCTCTAACACGGGCTTGTACCCTGACCAAAGCTTGCATACACCGGAGTGTTATAGCAGCTTGTTTTCTCACTATATGACCCCTTACAAGGGCCTGAAGCCTAACCAGTCCTTTTAAAGCTCGACGGGCTCTCCTAGCCTGAAGAGGAATGAAGTTAAACTTAATGGAGTACTAGTGCCCTATAAGAAAATAGACATTTAGAGCAATCTTGGCAGATTCCTGAATTTCATTCCAGCATCTCTTTGTTTACACGATAAACTTGTCGGTAGGATATTATGCTTTAGACTAATACTTCAACTTGCCAGCCATATGAAGTATGAACATATGGTTCGTCAAACATTGTCGCACATAGACCTATATATATAACATTTCCATGAATTATAAGTTTTACTTTTACACCAGTTAAGACGGTGCTTTTGTTTACCAACTATAAGCATGAGACCAAATATCAAATTCAAACATACAAACTTGAGGCCATGTATCAGGATGATTCAGTTGTAGCTTTTTTTTTACTTCTACTGAAACTGCATAGCTATCACATAAAGCTAATCACTCTGTATCTTGTACCATAGCGACTGCACAAAGCCTATTTTAAATACTAACAGATAGCAATCCCCCTAATGTAACCCTACACATTGAGATGAAAGTGCAGGTTTGCTTGGAGCATGGAGATTTAGAATGTTCAAAATATATAAAGAACACACTGGACAATGGATAAATTGACAGAGATAATGTGAATACCAGGAGGGCTCTATATGCAGTCTGAATAATTGTGGCAGCCCAGATCTCTTTGAGCTCCTCTTCTGTTTGAGGCAGTGGCACACTAAGCGTACTGAAACCAGGCCCTGAGCATGAAGGTGTGCCGCACTCGTCTTCTGATGGAACATTTCCATCAGGGAACTCTTCTGGTCCGACAAGGCTAGCGTGATCCTGGGAGTGCTGGTCCTGGAAGTGGAACTGATCGACGGCATCCCTTTTCTGCAATTTCCCCAGTTCACAATGTGTAAGAAAAACAGGGAAATTTTCATAGCACATCAGCAAAGGAACATGTGGCATCACTCTATTCCAAAAAATAAAAAAGAAGGTGGCAGCAGAAACATGGTGTCCTCATGTGTTTATCATCAGGGGCGGTGTACCGGTGTAGCAATACTATACAGATATACATTCGTGTTCCAAATTTATAGTTCTTGTGGTTACATAGCAATAGATTAGTTGAGTTCTTTTTGGACTAGTTTCAGTCCCCAAAATTCAATCTTGTCAGTGGTGCAGAACCAAAGGGTGACTCAAATAATATCACCCAGATCTGCAACACGCCAACAAGTGCAAGAACTTGCAAATGCGTTGCATACAGAAGCACCAACTGCTACCTATCGATTAGATTTATTGTAGGATAATAATGAATTCTCACGGAGCACTGGGCAAAATATTGCTATGATCCTTCCACATCCAAGCAAAATAAGTACAGTAGACCAAAAGGAATTAAGGAACCCAGAGGTGAGAACAAAAAGGCAGAGGCGGAATCGTAGGTAGGTAGAGGTGGTGGTGCCCCGTACTGTTCGGCCGGCGTCGCCATCCTCCTTGCGGCGCTGCTGCTGCTGCTGCCTCTCCACCTTCCTCAGCCCAACCAACGACTTGAGCCACCTCATCGCGCCGCCGCGTCACCTCACCTCGCCGCCTCTGCAACAACCTCCAGCCGCAGATTTTATTTTTTCCGTCAGCACGAGCGCAAACTGCGCAATCTCACATAAGGGACAAGAGAAAACAAAACCGCGGCGGAAAGTGAGTTACCAGATCACGGGCACCTGATGCCGCAGGAAACGACCGGGGCCGCGCGCCGCCGCCGGCCAATGAGGGCCGCCGCGCCGCGAGATTGGGAGGCCAAGGAGCCGGGGAGAGGGCAAGGGTGGAGGGGAAGGTGTGGGCTCGAAGCGTCACCAGTGGCCAGTGCAGTGGCGCTGCTCCCCTGCCTGCCTGCCTGCCTGCCTGCCTGCCTGCCTGCTACTGGCACCGGCACCACGCGGCCATTACTGCCGCTCCTGTGTGCCGGTGCGAATTATTGCTCGCTCGGCTCGGCTGCCCTGCCTGTGTGGCAGCCGCGGGGAGGAGGAGGGCGAGAATTATATCGAAATTGCTTTACACACGACACTACACGCACGATCTGCGAACGATGCATCCCTCCCTAACAGTGATTCCTGCCTGCACGCTTGCTTTTGATGCTGCCAAGTAGGATCGTGCAGTCGTCGGCTGTAAAACTGTCGTCCGTGTAGCAGCGCTGGAATTATATAGACAGGAAAATTACCCTGTTGCCCGCTACGGCAAATAAAGAAACAAAGAAAGAAAAGCGCGGCGCTTTTCTCATTCTCAGGTTTTGCTTTCTGCACCCGCTTGTCGGAATCAAAAGCCCTTTCTCGTTGCTCGCTTCTGAGATTTTCACCGCCTCTCATTCTTTTCTGCCTGCGTCTTGCAGGCAAAGATTCGTTGATTAGCTTTAGGACAAGGTGATTCTGCTGCTGCTGGGCTTATTAGCGTTATTAATAGTTTAGCCCCCGGAGTGAAAGCTGTGGTGTTTTTGTCACCCTCTGCCGCGGATTTTGTTGGATTTGGTCAGTGGCTTTGTTTGAGACCGTGGACTGATTGATCACGTGCCTTGTGGCACTAAGGGCATGTACAATGGTGGCATATGAATACATATGCCCCATGACAAAAAGTAATTTAAAGCACCTACATTAATTTTTTCTTCTCCAATGTAAGCTATCACTAGTGGGCCTTATTAAAAAATAAAAAATAAAGACTCTAGTACACATGCATCTCTATTTTTCACTCAAACCTTTTCAGCTTTTGTCATCGGACCATGTTTTTTCTCTTCAAGCACCCGCCTCCTGGAGAGGATCCTGCTTCCCTATCCGAACCTACTTTACGTCATATCCGATCCTACATGGCATGCGAGGCATCACCTTGAGGCTATGTATTGTACATGCCCTAAGATTTCAGGGTCGGCGTGATTCCCCTTTAATCTAAACATATTTTCCTTCAGATACGCATCTGGTATAGCTTATCTTCACTGCCATTGCCATCTGTCTGGTCGCCAATGCATACCAGAAACGCCTAGCAATATTTGGTGATTAAGTTTGGTTAAGAAGATACGCCGAAGAGATGGCATTAGTTAGATACAGTGAAGAAAATACAGTTTCTCTGTTCCGCGTCTGTATTTTCAACCCAGCGAAATCTTGGATGCGTCACCGCGGGAAAGCTGACGCGAGATCCTCAAAGTGATAAAGGCCCAAAGACTTTGGTAGGAGTGCAACAGTGTGTGTGGGGGTGGCATTTGCTTTGTCAGGACCGAGAGTTTTTATGAGACGTGTAGCTTTTCAGAACCGGTAGTACTCACACTCGCTGTAGTGTCTCGATGCTGGTAGTACACGGCATATTACTCCTACTGTAAAGCTGATTGACTATGAAGACTATAAGAACACCCGTGCGTTGCAACGGGGCCACATTAACTTTAAAAGTTTATTAATATTCTCATATATATCAAGTGATATTGGCGACCTTTTGTACCATCAATTCCTCACACACACTCTCTGCCTCCCTCTTCCTCACTCCCCCCCCCCCTCTCCCTCTCTCTCTCTTTCTCTAACACACACACACATATCCATCTTATTGGATACGGGACCATAATCCATCTATTTCACACACACACGCTAGTACATAACAATATGGATTATGTGTATTATATTTGCCACCACAACTGAGGAAATTAATTTCATGTAAATCGGCCAGCCACAGCTCTAAGAATACGCGGAGGAGGTGACCCGGGTCGGCGTCGGCGCCGTCTGGCACGGGCCACGGGCCCGCTTCCAAGCGCGTCTGCGCATCGGCCACCCACGCCGTGTCCTTTAAGTGCCACTTCCACCGCACCAACTACCAGGGTCACGGCCATGGCCAGGGCCAGGGAAGCCGCCCTACCTTGCCCCCTTCACCGGCCGCGGCCAACGCGGTGCCGCGGCACCCGGCCTCGTCGTCCTCGTCCTCCAGCACCGTCGCGACCCAGTGACGCAGCCCAAGCATCGGCCTCGAGAATCAAGAACGCTCGACAACGTAGAGGGAAGGAAAGGTCATATACATGTCATAAGAAAGGGAGTTTATTTACTGCTCCCCCGATGTATTGTTTCCTTTGTTTGGAGATTGATTACCATCCGTGAGTTAAGGTAAGGTTTACGTGATTGAGCGATTTTTTGAAAATCAATTATTTGTTTTCTAATTAATGTAATTGAGTGATTTAAGGTAAGGTTAATTAATTTAGATTTGATCTTTAGAGATTGTTCGTGATTGATTCTACATTACTAAATAACTTGCGCCAGTATGGAAAGTTCTGATCTGTTTAGATTTCTTTCGTTGTGTGAGAGGGTGACGCGAAAATAAACCGATGAAGTGAGGGGAGGGGACGAAAAAAATCTATAAAAAAACGAGCGAAGGTGGGAGGAGGTACCAAAAAAACCATGGAAGGTGGGAGGAGACTACCAACTGCTTCATTAGGAGTAGAAATTATTAGAGATTAGAGATTATTTGTTTCCTGAAAATCTATTATTTGTTTCTTAAAGCAAATTGCATTAATGGGAGAGATTTCGTAGATTTGACTAAGGTAGGAAAGAATCTATTATTTGTTTGCTAAAGCAAATTGCATTAATGGGAGAGATCCGTTGATTTGGCTAAGGTAGGAAAGAATCTATTATTTGTTTGCTAAAGAAAATTGCATTAATGGGAGTGATCCGTTGATTTGGCTAAGGTAGGAAATAATCTATTATTTGTTTCCTAAAGAAAATTGCATTAATGAGAGAGATTTGTTGATTTGGCTAAGGTAGGCGGTTTTTGTGGTTCGTGGCGACTTAGTGTGAGGTGGGACGAGGTACCCAAAAAAACCATGGGAGGTGGGACGAAAAAAAACCTGGGAGGTGGGAGTTGTCCCTGGTTAACCTACGAAATTTCGTAGATTTTTTTAGGACGAAAAAAAATCGTGGAAGGTGAGACTAAAAAAAACCTAGAAGCGAGACTACCAACTGCTCCCTTAGGAGTAGAGAAAAAGGCTTTATCATTGGGCGGTACAACAATGGCCTGCATCATGCATAGTACCAACCGACCAAGGTCAAATTTAAACGGTCGCCTGCTACGACCTTTGCTATCCGTTACGGGCTCCTTTGGTTTACAGGAAGTCTATAGGATTTTTGTAGAGTAGAATCATTAGAAATTTTCCCTATGCTGATTGTTTGATTCATCCTACAGGATGAAGCCATGTGCATTACTCCCTCCGTTCGGAATTACTCGTCTAAGAAATGAATGTATCTAAATGTATTTTAGTTGTAGATACATCCATTTTTGTGACAAGTAATTTCGAATGGAGGAGGTACATTTCATTGAAAGTCTAACATTCAATCAAATCTGTTTTACAATTTTGTTGTTTCTCCTATGCATCAAACGGCTCTATGCTAATCATATACCCCCTACCAAGAAGAGATGAGAGGATGGGAAGAGGTGGAAGGATTTTTTTTACATTACGATTAGCATCCTCCCACCTCTTCTTTAAATGTTGGTTCACGTTGCACATTTGGCGAATGGTCAACGAATGGTTGGGTTTAGGGGCTCTAGCGATAAACTGATGGATGACGGAAGGCAATGTCAAAAATAGAGTCGGTGGATTAACAAGTCGAAACCCAATACTGCAAACTGGAAGGTCATAGCTTTCATCACAATACTTGTGTGTTGGGTTATCTGGAGTGAGAGAAACGCTAGAGTTTTCAGGAAGAAATCAATGCCGCCCCTGTTGTCTACTGAAGCTTATTCAGGACGAGGCCAAACTTTGGGTCACCGAGGGCGAGGGGGCTAGGCACTTGAGCATCATCATGCCGAGAGATTAATCCACTTCTTTCCTGACGGGCTATGTTGTGAGACATCTCCAATGCCGACCCTCAAACCGCCTGCAACAGTTTGGACCATGCGGTCCAGATGTGTTTTGCCATCTAACACGATCCTGCATCGGTTCGCAGGCCGCTCCGAACGTGCTTTTTCCCGCAAACTGGAGACACACTGGGGGGGGGGGTGCGGGCGTCCGGACCGCTGCCACGCCCACTCCAGACGTGCTTTTTCCCACAAACTGGAGACACACTAGAGGAGGGGGGCTTTGGGGGCGTCCGAACCGCTACCACGCCCGCTCCTGACTAACCTGGCCCACCAAAAAAACCTCCCGCACCCGCGAGCTTTCCCGCCTGAAGCTAGCTGCCCGCATTCACGCCGCTCTAGAGCGGCCTCTCCGCATTGACGCCAGTCCAGAACGGACGTGACCACTCACTGACGCCGGCATTGAAGCGACTCGTCGGACGAGGGCGCAGCCGGCACCGCGTCCCCCGTCGCCACGCCTGTTCAATGCTGGAGAGACGTTTACTGGACAGGACGAGACAGATATCTACCACACCCGCTCAATGCATGTTCCTCCATCTGCCGCCATTAAACAGGCTCGTTGACTGAGCAACCAACTCCGGCACACGCACACTGACGGACCAAGACGCTTTGCCTCACCAGAAACCGCTATTTAAGGGTGGCCACACCCGGCTCACAACACATTCGCTTCACATCCTCCTCTCATGCACTACAT